GTTGCTGATCTCGGGCGAGAAGCCGGTATCCAAGGATCATTCCATATTAAAATAGAACATCCGGAACAATTCTTTTGATTATCCTTTTATTAACTAGAGATCTAGCTGAGATTATACTGCGTCATTCACAAGACAATGAGTAGGATCCTACAGGGTCTAAAGGGTTTGATTTCCAAAAATACCATCCTTTGAAGACCCTCACAAACAATGAATGAGGCCTATCTATCAGCCTCCAAAATTGTTATGTCAATAAAGCAGTGTTAAAATTTTCCACATCTCGAAACCCCATTCCCCATTTTGCTTTATCTTTACACATCTGAGTCCATATTATCCAATGCATGCCTTAGTGATGTCCATCCGAGCTTCACCAGTACCGTGCTGCTGCGCTGGTCAATTTTGCCGTTATGAATTTAGGTAGTCTAAAACATGACATGACTAAGGTAGGCATTGCCGACCCACCGATTTAGTTAAAACTTTTTTGCCTCCTTTTTTGCTGTTACAAATAAATGGTTTTTACTGTGCCAATTTTTAAAAAGGAAGAATATCAATTCGTAGACCAAATATACCATACGACAGAGACACATTTTGCAATTATATGAATTGGAAGGGTAAGAAAGCGCTGAAATGATTTAAAACAAAAAAAACAAAAATTAGAAAGAGGGTATGTGTTGGAAACATGTATCTATAGCTAAACAAGTAAACATCATTATCTGTTGAAAAGATTGTCATGAAATAACGCAAGTTCTTCAATATATCAATGTTACACTAAACTTAAACTAATTTAAAATCATATGATCAAAATTTAAAAATACAAATCATCATTTTCATGTTCAGTTTTCTCAACTTCATCAAATAAATCCGCCTCAAACTCTTTCTTGTCCAAGGAAAGATCATCAAACTCAAATATTTCAAAGATAATCTCATCTAACTAAGCTAGTGAAGTAAACCACTTCCAACATTTCACATATGATTAAAACAACGTTTCTAATAAATGATGGAGATTTCAGTGTTACAATTATTTTTAGTTAACCATTGCAACTCTTGAGAATATGGTTATTCTCCAAACATTGCAACTCTTGAGAATATGGTTTTTCTCCAAACATTGCAACTATTGAGTTTTATGGTTATTTTAAACCATTGAAACTGTTGGGATTATTGTTATTTTGAACCATTGCAACTATTCATTGTACCCCTGAAAACTCTATAAAAGGTTGAGAAATCTTTGGAGAGGAATATAGAAAAAGTTTTTGCAAACTACAACAAAAAAACAACATAATAACAAAACATAGAAAAACTCTTTGTGTATCTTTTGTATCTTTGCTTAGAACAAGAGAGAAACTTTGATTGTCATATCCTACAAGGGATTTCGTGTAACCCAAGGCTTTGATAAGGATCGAAATACTCTTTAAGGAAAGTTCTTTGTACACGGTTCATTCATTATCCAAGTTCACTATTTATCAAGTTCAGGGTTCAAACAACAACATTCTTAAAGAGTATTTACTTGTGAACTATGGCTGGTGTATCTGTGCGAGAGATGATGTCGAAGTTTGGAAAGTTGGAAAAGTTTGAAGGAATAGATTTCAGAAGATGGCAAAAGAAGATGCACTTTGTCCTCTGCTTAATGTAATGTATGTTCTAAGCATGCCAATGCCTACTGTACCTGAAGATGCAGAGAACGAGTCTTTGGAGGGGACAAGGAAGCAGCTTAAATGGGAAAACAATGATTACATATGTCGTGGCCTTATTCTCAACGGTATGTCGGATCCACTCTTTGATGTCTATCAGAATTTTGAGTCCGCAAAAGACTTGTGGGATGCGTTGGAATCAAAGTACATGGCAGAGGATGCTTCTAGTAAGATGTTCCTTGTGAGTAATTTTGATAATTACTAGATGTCTGATTCTAAGCCGGTTATGGAGCAATACAATGAATTACTCCGTATCTTAAGGCAATTTGCTCAACACAACATAAAGATCGATGAATCCATCTCGGTGTCGAGTATTATCGATAAGTTTCCACCTTCATGGAAAAATTTCAAACACATGTTGAAACACAAAAAGGAAGAACTGTCTCTTGTACAACTTGGTAGCCACTTGCGTACAGAGGAATCTCTAAGGGCGCAAAGGGAGGAAAACCTAATAAAGAGGTTGGTACTTCTTCCATTAATATGATGGAAGAAAATGGGAATTCTAAGAAAAATAAGGGGAAGAAACGCTCCTTTAATAACAACACTTACGATGGATCTAACAAGAGGCTTAAGAGTGTTTGTTGGATTTGTAACAAGCCGGGTCATTTCAAACGTGACTGTCGGGCAGCAAAGGACAAAGATAAAATGGGATAAAACCATTGGGGGCAAGTGTCTAAGGACCAAGGCCCATCTTCTCATCAAGGATGATGAAGTATCATGGTGGATTGACTCGGGTGCAACAACACATGTTTGCAAGGATCATGGCTGGTTCAAGTCATATGAACCGGTTCAAGATGGGTCCGTACTTCATATGGGCAACGAGTCAACCGCTCCTATCCTAGGCCGTGGAAAAGTAGTGTTGGAATTTAGTTCTGGGAAAACTCTTGATCTTAGAGATGTACTTCATGTACCTGGAATTAGGAGAAACTTAGTCTATGCTAGTGTTTTAAATAAGTGTGGATACAAAGAAGCATATGAATCTGATAAGTATATTTTATCGAAGTGTGGTGTATTTGTTGGATTTGGATATTTCTGTAATGGCATGTCTATGCTTAATATTAAAAAAGTTATCAGTTCTATTTATATGGCATATTCTAGCAAAGTAGATACTTCTCTATGGCATGCAAGATTATGTCATGTACATTATAAGCGTATGATCGAAATGTCTAAAGAAGGTTTGATTCCTTGACATGAATATAGAGAAGTGTAGTACTTTCATGTTGACAAAGATAGTTAGACAACCATTTAAGAGTATAGAGAGAAATTCTGTGGTGCTTGGACTTATACATAGTGATCTATGTGATTTGCATGCTACACCATCTTTAGGAAACAAGAAGTATTTCATCACGTTCATTGATGATCATACTCGGTTTTGTCATTTATATTTATTACATGCTAAAGATGAGGCCCTAGAAAAATTTAAGGTTTATAAAACTGAGGTTGAATTGCAACAAAATGACTTGATTAAAATATTAGGCACTAATAGAGGTGGGGGGTATTATGATCCTGCATATTTCCAGCCTGTAAGCATTATACATGAGACTACGGCTCCATATACACCATATCAAAATGGTGTATCTGAGAGGAAAAACAGAATCCTAAAGGAAATGGTTAATTCCATATTATCTTACTCGGGATTAAGTGACGGATTTTGGGGTGAGGCCATGTTAACGGTGTGCTATTTATTAAATAGGATTCCTAACAAAAGGAATAAAGTTACTCCATATGAACTTTGGTACAAAAAGAAACTAAACTTGATCTACCTCCGAGTTTGGGATTGTTGGGCGGTCGTTAGACTACCCCAACCTAAGATTAAGACTACAAGATTCCGTTGTGGCCAAAATCGGTATCACCTATTTCTATCCATTGTGATAGCCAAGCTACTTTGGCTAAGGCTTATAGCCAAGTGTATAATGGTAACTCGCGACACCTGGGCGTTAGACATAGCACGGTATGTGAGCTGATCACTCATGGGATAATTACCATTGGATTTGTTCGGTCTCAACAAAATCTAGCAGAGCACTTGACAAAAGGATTACCTAGGGACTTGGTGACCAAATCGGCTAAAGGGATGAGATTAAAGTCCATTTGAAATCTTCAATGATGGGATACCCAATTCCCCTCAAATACAACGTTAGAGGCTGAATTCAATGGGGAAAGCCTACATTTAAAGATTGAAGCACTAGTTTATATCATCTTAAAGTAAGTGCTTGGACCTGCAAGAAAGGGTTAGGATGAAGGTTTCTTCTTAATAGATATTTTGAAAAATTACATTTGCAGGTGAAAGATTAAAAGTATCTACCTATATGAGTGTGAAGTGTTGCCGCTTCAAGAAGCTAGGACTTGGCTTTGTATACACTCATGAATGAATAGGAACACATGGCCAATAATAGTGTCAAATATAAACACATAGAGTAGTGTGGAAATTCGTGTGTGTATTATCTTCATGTGCTAAACATGAGTTGAAATGATCCAATCCATAGGACATCCTGATTCTCGAACATTTGGAATGTGTAATAGCACTAAAATGAAAATTCAATCGTCACAAATTTTTCATTTATGCATGAGTTTGGTATATGTGTTATTTATTTAGTGAATTTATAATTACACTTAAATGGGAGAAGAATGTTGGAGATTTAAGTGTTACAATTATTTTTAGTGAACCATTGCAACTCTTGAGAATATGGTTATTCTCCAAACATTGCAACTCTTGAGAATATGGTTATTCTCTAAACATTGCAACTATTGAGTTTTATGGTTATTTTAAACTCTTGCAACTGTTGGGATTATGGTTATTTTGAACCATTGCAACTATTCATTGTCCCCCTCGAAACTCTATAAAAGTTTGAAAAATCTTTGGAGAGGAATAGAGAAATTTTTTTGCAAACTACAACCAGAAAACAACATAATAACAAAACACAGAAAACTGTTTATGTATCTCTTGTATCTTAGCTTAAAACAAGATGAAAACTTTGACTGTCTTATCGTACAAAGGATTTCGTGTAATCTAAGACTTTGATAAGGGTCGAAATACTCTTTAAAAAAAGTGTGTCATACACCATTCAATCATTATCCAAGTTCATTATTTATCAAGTTCAGGTTCAAACAACAACAATTCTTTATATAAAAAATAAAGAAATTAATTTTTTATAATGTCAATATACTATATGGGTTTTCGGTGACCGTTATCGTTGTTATGAGTCTATTATAGGTACTTTAGGAGATCATACATTAAGAGATTTGGGTTACGTGGCTTCTTCTTCGAAAAATAGCGTGGGTGACATCACTTCTTCTAATTCGATACTATATACAGAGGACGACAAACGATACTTGTTTTCAATGGATAATCTATAAGCTAAACAAACTGATAGAGGCCCCAAAGCATGAATATTAAGAAGAACACACGATACTTATTTTTAATGAACAAAAGATGACTCAGAGCTGATACTTTCTTCTTTGTTTTCTTCCACTGCCACCTCATAACAAACTCTCAACAACGGCTAGTGTTTAAGGCTTGCTCTCTCATTTCTTGTTCTTCCATTGAATCGCAGAGACTTAATCCTTTTGTCTCAGGCAGAATCAAAACGAACAATCCTAAAGACATCGCCATTCCGAATATCGCAAACGATACTGATGGTACGTCTCTTCCAATTGAAGCAATTAGCGGAGAACAAGCTCCCCCAACAATAAGTGCCTGTCTAAACATCATTGTTGCGGAATTCCTCACACAAGTCGGAAACATTTCAACCATATAAACCACCATTAGGTTGAATCCAATCCTTGAACAAAAGAATGTCCCAAGTTCGAAAGCAAATGCAATCTCTGCTTTTCCAAAAACGCTGAGAACAAAACAGAATACCCCGGATGCTCCACCAAGTAAGGCATTCCAAAGAACAGAGCTTCTTCTGTTGAATCTCTCCAATAGTATGGGAGTGATAACGAAAGTAGGTAACTCCACCAATGCGTTTAGGGTTTCGCTCAAGTAGATGTTGACACCTATGTCTCTAACTGCTAAAGGAACTCCATAATACGACATTCCCAAACCAAACAATATGCTCATAGCAGCCAAAATCCTCTGAAATGCCCACTTCCGGATGAATAAGTCCTTAATAGAGTTACTTGGCACTTGTTCGAAGGTTTCAATCTCGAGGGGTAACTTGGACATCACTGATTCCAAGTAGGGTATGTTCCTCGATGATATCTTTTTGAGAACATCAATGGCTTCATAGTTATTGCCTTGCATGTGAAGCCACCTTGGGGATTCAAGCGCAAATAGATAGAGGAAGATACAGTAGAATATCGCTGGAATGGATGTGTATAGATAAAGAAGTCTCCATGAAGAGTATTGAGCAAGGTAAGCGATTCCAGACAATGACATAAACCCTAAAACGAATAGGGTAAATGGAATCATCGTAGCTCTCGGTCTCCATCTGGCGGAGACTCGCTCACTGATGAGAACCAGAGCGTAGGAAAAGGTTTGAGAGCGTGCAATTCCATTGAAAAATTTCAGTGATGCGTAAATCCATACATTGGTTGAGAAGATAACAGAGATTGAAGTGAGTGACATTGCAAATGTTGACAACACAAGCAGATTCTTGCGGCCCAAGAAATCGTCTGGGATCAAAGCTAAAACGAATCCTCCAACAATCGTACCCATATAAAAAGCAGAGCTAGGCATACCTCGGAGTAATGAGTTGGAGCACTCGAGGTCGAATTCTGAAATGACGTATCTTCCCTTGGAGCCACCGTCCCATTCCCAGGCTGATCTTGGAAGCTTGCAGATGTTGGAAGCAGAAGGATCGCAGATCGTGTGGTTTAGACAGTGCCACGTGGGGTATGCATCTGTGTACACGGTGATGAATATCTGCTGAGCATCGAAGAGCAAAGCGAGTCCAACGAGGAACGTCTGGAAAAATTGCCAGAAACCGAAATCTGATAGACTGTGTTGGAGGATCTTGTCGAAAGTTAATTCTTCGGGTCTGGATTTCCCGTGGACTTGGGGATCATCGGAGCCAAGATGAGATAACAATGGTTCTGATGGACCAGCCATTATCGTCTAGTTTCGAGTTGTTTATTTATTTTCAGTTTTTTTTGAAGGGACTGACTGTTGATTATATACTAGTAGCCCTTCGTATCTGAAGTTTAAATATGTGTGTTTCTCAATAAAATGCAAACCTCAGATTTTAAATCACGGCGTATTCAATATGTGTTATGGTTTATTAAACGGGTCATTCAAAGCACAAACTATCGCGTAGATAGTTTAATTCATCAAATTATGTTGATTTCAAATTTAAATTCCAAAAATCTACTGAGTCAAATTGGACACAACATTAAGTTGATAAACAGAATATATAAACGAGGTTAAAAACTGTTGGAAATCATGGTTAACTGATATGAAGTCGTTTTCTTTTTCTTCTTAAAACCTCATATCGAAAAAATCATGTTTATCGTAATATAGGATCAATGGCGGACGTAGCGCATAAGATGGCGTGGCATGTGTCCCATGACATTAAATGTATTTAACTAAATATTAGTTATACGAAATTATTCTAGTGCCCCATGCTAAATTAATTTTTGCATCCGCCCCTGTATGGGGTTTTAAGAAGAAAAAAAAAAGCATACAGTATCATATTACTTAACCGTGATTATAATGATTTCTTAACCCATTTTATCTGTTCCATGTATCAACTTAATGTCGTGTCTTGTTGGACTCAGTCAACAGAAATCTAGGGTTTAAATTTAAAATCAACAAAATTTACTGATTTAATTTGATTTCCCATTTTTAAACGTGCTCATGAGAAGAATGGGATCCCGTAAGGACATCACGTTAAAGACTTTGATGTTGACCGTTGACCTAATTGTAAATATTATTAAATGTTGATACGAACACTACTCCACCCCATATTAAATGCCAATATGTCAAATCTCGACATAATGAAATGCAAAAATACAAACGTACACTCATGTCGCTACAATGAATTCACCGAGCGATTTATTTATTGAGGCAACCGCAGCATGCCATAAGGGAATTCTCTACTTTGTCGTAAATTTCTCTATCCCATCTCACTACAGTCCTACGCAGTGCCGTCCTTAAATTTGTGGTGACTTTAGATGAACTAAAAAAATGTAGCTTTTATAAGAAAAATTAGTGTAAAAATATCGTCTCAGTACAAGAAATAATAATAATAATAACCAAAACTATAAAATTTTAAAACATATTTTTTTTATTCCTAAAAAATTATTTACCAAACTCACATAATCGAGTTATTTAGCCACAACGGCTATGTAAAATATAATTAGGAACCAGCTGAAAATTCGGTGAAATCGGTGGTTAAATTCACACAACCAATTAAAATTTTGCAAATTGGTGGTTAAACCGAAAGATCCGGTCAAACCCAAACTTTGTTTGACTGTTGGTTTTTAAACTTAAAAAGATTTTAATTGATGTTGCTACTTATATTGAATAAAAATTATAAGTTTCCTCATTTATCGATGTGGGATTTTTTTTTAATTATGCCTGTTTTAAGTTTTTAAACTAAAATATTTTTTTTTACTTTTTTATTTATTTATGAAGATCCATAAAAATAAATATCAATAATAATAATACTAGTATATGGACTTATCTCAAAAAATAATCTAAAAATATTTACCTCATTAACTATATACATAAACTAGTTAATAAAATGTGGCCCTAATTTTATTTTCAATTTTTGGTGGCCTTAGGCTAATGCCTAACTCAGAAGACATGAGGCACGGCTCTAGTCCTACGTACCATGCTAGCATAGCCTAACAGTTTAACCCCATTTTGAATATGATATCGGACCACCAATTTAGGCCAAGTATTTTTATAAAACCCTAGTCATTTCACATGGTAGAGGGTCCTTAGATTACTCATTGCAAATGTTTATGTATTCAGTAATCTTCTATAGTATTTTGTGTCCAAACAGGTTTTAATTAGTTTTCTACTATTCTGTTACCAAACAAGTCAATTTAATGTAATATTAATAAAATAATATATTTTTAATTTATATTTTAAAATAAATACGAAAATTTAAATTTGAATTTAGATTTGTTATAGATTTCCTTAAATTTAGGTATATTGTTTATCAAAATTACAAAATAAGTTATTATTATATTTTTACAAAAATAATAAATCTGATATCAATTTAGATTTAATTTCCATATTCAAATTTGAGTAATATTTCAGTGACAAGGATAAAAATAATATATTACTGTATATTTTTATTAAATAAATCTTAAACTTTTAATATTCAAACTTAATAAAATATATAAAATATACAAATAATATGAATGAACGGATTATAATTATGCTTTAATAACTATATATGATCCTTTTCGGATTAATATAAATAGATATGTTATAATAACGTTTTTATAATCGTTGTACCTATTAGATTTAGTTATTAGAATATGTAACTAGAAATAATAAACGGACGGATTAGAATAATGTTTCTCTAATCGCAGTCATATATATACTAGAAATAATAAATTAATAGAAACAATATATATATATATAAACAGAAACAAAATATATATAAACAGAAAAAAGTATTTATCATTTATTAGAAAATTATATATAAAAAAACATAAATAATATTACACGATTTGTTAAATTAAAAATAATCCCGTACGGATGCACAGGATATAATCTAGTTAAGTTATTAAAAATAGTATATATGCAAGAAGATCATTGCAACTCTGTTCTTAGGAAGTTAAGTTTATGGTTCTCTGTAGTTCCTGGGATTGATTTCAGAATCTGAATTTTTTACAGTGATGTTGTTATAGTTTTCTGACTTATATTATTCTTATGGCCAAGAAGTTAAGTTTAAGAAACAATAATGGTGGTGGGGTTTTGGTTTGTTGAGACTTGAGAAAGAGAAAGATAGTGCAATAATTTGTTCGTAAGTTCCCTGTGAGAACTGCACAAGAGAAATAATTAATAAGATTGGGATAAGATTGGGGCCATGCGTGATGACATTTTTCCATATTGGATTTTGTTTTTTTAGGATAACAAAGTTTAAATCTGGGAGAGTTGATAACACCGTACTTGTACCCATTTTCACCACTGATTTCAAATGTTTTTTCAAAGGTTTTAATTAGTTTTAGTAACTTTTATTATGTTTTCTCTATATTTGTAGTTCAAGGCTCTTTTAAAGACGAAACTTAGAGAAAAAGATGGAAAAATTGAAGAAATCCACATTTTTAGCTTAGAGTCAGATCGTCAGAAGTTCAGCCTCAAATAAAGACTTTCTCACCGTCTGATCCAGCTCAAATTGGGAGACATTCAAAAGAAGATAACCAGGTTTCGATAGCATTTTACATCAGGAAGATCTAACAATGCAATCAAAAGATACATGGAGAAAAAGTTGACCAAATTCTGACCAAATTCACTAGTTCCAGAAGACTCTCACCCATGGCAAACAAGTGTTTTACCTGCCCCGGAAGACTCTCACCCCCAGAGGACTCCTGTAATGAGACCTGGAAGACCTTATGACCTAAAAATACATTTCTTAGCAGCCCTAAACGGGTGTGTGCTCCTGTAATGAGATTTTGAGCTACCAAACTTTGTTTTTCTAGGGTTAGGCGATGGAGAAAGGGATTATTCCCTTTTATCTAATTAACTTTTCTGTTTCATCTGATGCATTCTTTCATGTATTTTATCATTTCTTGCATCATGTAGATTTGTCCCAGAGAGTCAAGTTTCTAAAGAGTTATCGATAGGTATACATGTTCGATTAGGATTTCTAAGTTTCTAAACCATATTCTGGATCTCATCTCTTCTAAGTTGTTCATATTGCATGAGAGTAGATTCATGACATTTTCTCTGAGCCTAGGATCGATCAGAGCCACGAGAGTGCTGTATCAGATCATCCATACCTAGCTTCAGAAGAACATAGTCGCTACAGGAATCGAGAGCTACCTGTAGAGAAGATGTGAGCAAAAAAATTTAATAGTTAATGCATGATCTTATTTCTGGCATGAGAGCGAGAGTTAATTGTCAGATTTAAGTGATTAGTTGATTAAGATGACGAGAGTTCGTTAATCATACACATGTCTATTCCAGTTCCATGCAGATCCCAGAAGATAGATAAAGATAAATCGCTCGGAGGCTAATTGGAAATGTTTTGACATCGATTAGAGTAAACCGGAGAAGTCTAAATCGCCCACTATGAGTCTAGAGTCTATAGTTTGAGTCGAACACCCTTGAGATATTCTTTTAGCAACTCATTTATATTGCATTTTATTTTCCGTAAATATTAGATTAGGTTTAGTTTAGTATTCGTAACCAAAAATCCCAAACCCCCATGAGTTTATGACTTTGCTTACTCTCCGACTTTGGTTTTCTTGCAGATTGGACATATTCCCTATGGATCGACAACTAAGTTCTACAACGTACATCTGTACATCATGTCTTATTTCATGCATTTTAGGTCCTTAAACATTAATTTAAGACTTAGGAGTTTGCATTAAGTCCAAAAGAGTTTTGCATGGTTTGGAGTGTTAAACATGTGCTTTTGGAGCTTATTTAGAGTGGAGGAAGTGAACCAGGTGCAGAAATGGTGTTCAAGTGATAAAAAATGGTGAAAAGGGGATCTTGGAGTTTCTCGGTTAAAATCCATACCGTAGGTAGGATTCTCGGCCAAAACACGTACTGGCTGTTTAAGCTTCTCGGTCAAAAATCTCTGATGCAGAGACATTTCACAAATCGTATTACTTGAAGGCCTTCCCGGCCGATTCAACTTCCGAGGTCTCAGAAAAGATCAAGATAATTGATTCAAGGTTCCAGAATAGTTGGAATCAATGCATTTGGAGCATCGAGCTGAAAGATGCGGCCACGGAAGATAGACCTGTCTCGCATCCATTCCGGAGCAATCCGATACGCCTCAAAGACACCGTTACCGGAAAGCCTTGCTGTCCGATTCAGCTTCCGGATTCTTCATGAAAGGTGGAGAAGATTGAGTCGTGGTTCAGTACAATTGGAATTAGTGGATTTGGACCAGTCATATGAGAGTTATAGCCGTCAGGAGACATACTTGTCTTGCTTCCAATCCAGACCGATCCGATGAG